AAAAAAAAAAAAATTAAAGCAGATATGCACATAGAGAAATAAGTCATGGTGGAAGACAAAGAACTAGTCATATTCCTTTGGATTCTGGGACAGGTTTTCCATGTCCAAACAGAACACAGCCAAAGAGGACGCACTGTAGGCAACATCGTCAGAGACAGCCTGGTGTCTACTGAAGCTGAATTTGGCTCTAAATACTTGGAAATAATATTTTATAGTAAAATGATCCTAGTCTGTGTGATGAAATTTCAGAGGTAGAACAGACTTTAGAGATTGTTATTAAGAAACCGGTTCTCAGGTTAAGTGATTTGGTCAAGGTCAACCAGCCAGGACTAAAATTTGGGTTCTCATTTCCCAGTAGAAAAATGTATACTTTGCCCAACTTTCCTATCCCAGAATGTTGTTTTGATGGCTAGAGGTGGAAGATGGAGGGCAGGGTGAAGTTCTTTAGTTTCTATACCTGGTGATGTGATTTCTGAAATTCCTTTTTATGATACTCCATGGCTAATAAGATCAGTGATACCATTGAAGTGTAATAGATTTTACTTACATATTTCATGTAGTAGTTACCAGTCAGGACTTTTTAATATTGGGCAAATGGAGTAGGAAGGATTCAGGGAAAGTATTTGAGGGAATTTAGAGGTAAATTGGAGTATACTGTACATTCTTATCTGAAAGGATCTTCAGGAAGCATTTTGTAATCAGTGGCGTGTCAGTTAAATTGGCATTATCTTAGTACATAAAGCAGTGCTTTGAAATCAGTGGGATATTTAATGAAATATGTTTACAGAGGATCTATACCTATTGTAATTTTAGGATGAGATCAGTTTAACCCTATAAGTTGTATTCTGTAGACAATGATTATTTCACCAATTCTGGTAACAGTGACTTATCTTTACACGGGATCGTTTGGACAAGTCTGGGAGATTAATAATTAATAGGACTACTGAAGTAGATTTAAAATTTTGGTTTTTCATTTGACTTAGAAGATTTCTGACTTTATGCTAGAATGATTTTGCCCCTTGAATACTAAAAATAAAACATTAACATAATAAACTATAAAATCTCATCTAGATAAACACATCCGGATGAAACATTAACTCTGTTAATACTACGATTCAATCATATTTAAACCAGCATAGGGGTATATAATAGATACTTGTTCTAATGGTATGAGTATTTTGACAGTAGACTTTAGCTAAGCCATTCATGAGAGATTGGATCAGGATAAAATTGCAATTATGTATTTCTGTGGGGGAAAAATGTGTATATTCTAGTTCAGTTGTGTTTATTTAAATAGTTGGCATTTGTCAACTGTCTTGCAGACATAGCCAAATTTTTAATGTATCTTTGAGGAAAATTCATTCTGACATTCAGTTTGCTTCCAAACACAAATTTTGGAACCCAGTTCTCTTAGGTGGTAACTTGAACATGTGGGGTTTATAGATAACTGGATGCCTCTACTAACATCTCAAGAATTGAAGATTAACTGACACTTTAAAGTGGAGAATACTGACCCAGAAAAATAGCCTCAAATCCTTGAAAGTTTAAAAGCATTTGTATTTTATTTCTTTGAATTTGTTAAAATACAAGTTTTAAATGCACTTTTGCTGCCATGTTTCACAATAACTAACTAGGTTTTAACCGGTTTTTTTTACCGAATCCAGTGTTTTGTTGAAAATGCTTACTTATTAGGTAGAATCATTAATAAAATGCAGGTCATTTAAAAAGTATCGTGGTTTAAAAAAGGGGAGGGGTGCACCTGGGTGGCTCAGTCAGTTAAGCACCCGACTCGATTTTGGCTCAGGTCATGATCTCAGGGTTGTGAGATCAAGCCCTACCTTGGGCTCTGTGCTCAGCAGGGAGTCTGCTTGTGATTCTCTTTCCCTCTGCTCCACCCCTCCTTGCTTGCTCTCATTTACTCTCTCAAATAAATCTTAAAAAAAAAAAAAAAGTATTGTAAATTCTTCAGTTTGACTACTTTAGCAAAGATGAGATTTCTGTTTCAGATCACTAGCTCTCTTAGTTACTGCCTCTTAGAATAAGGCTTTACAGAATTCTGAGAATGAGTGTGTTAAAAGAAATGTATCTACATTCTGGGTCAACATCCCATAGTAATTGCTTTAATCAAACAGAAAAGATAAATAAGGATCCTCAGGGGATCATATTGTCCTCAAATTGAGTTCTTAGCAGCATGGTCTCAAATGATGTTTCAGGTTAATCTGTGGCAAGATCGGTGGTTATATCTGTATATACTTTTGATTTTAGTTGAAATAGTGGATGGATATTATCAATTGAGCTGGTTAATTGGAAATTAAAGCTGTGCTCTAGAAATAGTCTTGGGTTCAGATCCTAGTCACTTTAATTATCTATGTGACTTCAGTTGAAGTTACTTCTTTTTAAGCCTCAGATTTCTCCTCCTGTAAAATGGGGGTTAATACTAGCGACAGTGCTTAGCACTGCTTAATAATACAGCAAGCATACAAAAGACAGTTCCGTAATTTTCCATGCAACTTGGAAAAGAGAAGTTGGATAATTCAGAAGGTACTCACAGCTCTCCTACTACCTGGAGGTATATTTCAGAGCTTCTGCCCCTTCCCCCCCCTCCTTTTAAGCTTTGGAAAGAATTCTTCAGCCTTAGTATTTATTTTTCGTATTACGAGGATTTACTTTTTTATGGGTAGTTTAAATCTCTCATGTTATTATGAAGGTTGTATTGGTACATAAAGAATCTTTAGTCTCTTGGTGGCTCATTCCTCTTCTCCAAAACAAATCTCTTTCTCTGAAGATTTCATCAGATCTATTTTTTTTTTTAAGATTTTATTTATTTATTCATGAGAGACCGAGAGAGAGAGAGAGAGAGGCAGAGGCAGAGGGAGAAGCAGGCTCCCCGCAGAGCAGAGAGCCCGACGCGGGACTTGATCCCAGGACCCTGGAATCATGATCTGAGCTGAAGGCAGACGCTTTACGGACTGAGCCACCCAGGCGTCCCTCATCAGATCTATTTCTTAACCATTTATCAGTTTTATAACGTTTCTGAACCCAGGTATAGTTGGGTGCTTGGAAATTCTTGTGCTGATGATGCCTCCGTAGTTGAGTGTATGTGTTTTTAGGTTGTGGGATTAAGCACCCAGAGCTTTACTGAGCTGAATGTTACACATATCTTCTACACGGAGCTTCTGCTGCAAAACAGCAACTCCTAGTTTCTCTCTCTTTTTTTTTTTTAAAGATTTTATTTATTTATTTGAGATAGAGAATGAGAGAGAGAGAGAGAGCACATGAGAGGGGGAGGGTCAGAGGGAGAAGCAGACTCCCTGCCGAGCAGGGAGCCCAATGCGGGACTCGATCCCGGGACTCCAGGATCATGACCTGAGCCGAAGGCAGTTGCCCAAACAACTGAGCCACCCAGGCGCCCCTCCCAGTTTCTCTTAACTGGCATTTCTCTTGGGAGAATCTTCAGATTCAAAAATCATTATAGCGCTTTTCAAGGCTTTCACCAAACATTTAATTTATTATTAAATTATTGATTTATTATTTAATTATCAAATTCTTTATAAGGATAGTGACACCTGTTGTACCATTAAGACAGTGTCTTGTGTGGCTTTGTTGTTTTGTTTTGCTTTCCCACGTACATATTTTTTTTCCTTCTTTTTAGTAACAAAACATAAAGGTACTGAGAAAAGAGAGTCCCCTTCACCAGCACCTAAGCCTAGAAAAGTAGAGTTATCTGAATCGGGTAAGTTTTCGTGTGTTATTTTGTTAAGCTGGATTAGATTTTTTGGCACATTTCATCATCCCCTCTGGTTAAAGATAATTATAGGATATGACTTAGTGGTTAAGAGCTACGGCTCTGAAGTTGAGACCAATCTGGTTTGAATCCCCAGCTTCACTACTTAACTGCTTTTTGTTTAATTACTTCATTTATCTGACCCTCACTTCTTTCATCTCAAATGCAGATAACAGTACTGTCTTTCAGGTTTTTTATGATTAACTGAAATAATGCCTATAAAGTCCTTAGCACTTAGCGTGACTTGTAGTAAATAAATTTGGATTGCATGTGGTGAACATAGTCTAAAATCAGCATTTAAATTGGCATTTTAAAGCTTTTTGTAAGAAAAAAATATATATATAGTTGTATTGCTTGACCCAATGAGATAGAGGTTTAAGAGACCATTTTCCAACTCAAGTATGTTACATTTTCTGTATGCATAACTAAAGAAACACTTTCTAAATGCATCCATCTTTCAGAAGAAGATAAAGGTGGCAAAATGGCCGCGGCAGATTCTGTGCAGCAGAGACGTCAGTACAGACGACAGAACCAGCAGTCTTCATCTGGTACGGATATGGAGTCAACTGTTTTCTGTCTGTATCCTCATGAAAAATACCCCAAATACAAATCTCCATCCTTGTAGTGAGCATACATGGGAGAAATATGTGCCTGCATAGAAATCTGTTCAAGGGGAGGAAGTAATTACTTTTGGTTTTTGGTGTTAAGTCCTTTCTTGAAACTTAATTTTCTTTTAAATAGTTATAAACAATAGATCTTTGCAGTACAATAGTAAAACAGACGGGTATAAAATTTGGAAAAGTATAATTCTTCTCCCAACCCCTAGTCTTACTCCTGGAAGCTTTTCTTCAGAATATTTCTGTGCCGTCTATAAGGATCTGTGGTTTAAAAGGGCAAAAAAACCCAAAAAACCTGCATAAGCTCAAACTGTATGTTGCCTCCCTTTTTAACTTATTATATCTAGATATCTTTCCCTGTTCTTAGATCTAATTTAATAGCCAGAACCTTTCATTGTAATAATTAATACACTGTAATTTATTGACCCAGTCACCTACTTGGACATTTAGGTTGTTTCTGGGTTTTGTGTACTTTATATCTGTAAAAGAATAAATATTTAATTACTAATAATTAATTTTATTAGCTCTGGGTATTTGTGACCGAGTTTAGGTGTGCTACCTTTGCTTTTCATTTATGAAATAGAGATCAAAGCACACCCCACAGCGGCATTAAGTCCATTAAAAGCCCATCGAGCTTTTGCAGCTCTTTAAGCATGAAGTTAGGGCGCCTGGGTGGCCCAGTCGTTAAGCATCTGCCTTCGGCTCGGGTCATGATCCCAGAGTTCTGGGATCGAGTCCCACATCGGGCTCCCTGCTCAGCAGGAAGCCTGCTTCTCCCTCTCCCACTTCCGCTGCTTGTGTTCCTGCTCTGGCTGTCTCTGTTTCTGTCAAATAAATAAATAAAATCTTTGGGGAAAAAAAAGTTAAATCATAAGAAGGTTTAAAAATGCATATACGTCTTGGGTGTTTTTGGTACTTGGGACTTTGTTTTATTCTTTTTTTAAGAGAGGTGGAGAGAGAGAAAGCATGGGGGAGGGGAGAGGGAGAGACTCTTAAGTAGGCTCCATTCCAAGGGCAGAGCCCGGCACAGGGCTTGATCTCAAGACCCTGAGACGAAATTAAGAGTCGGATACTTAACCAACCAAGCCACACAGGTGCCCTGGGACTTTGTTTTGATATTTGGGAACAGTTATTAGTTATTTTAAGTTAAGGAAACCATGTGCAAACAATTGAAGTTTTTCTTTTTGCAGTCCCAGACATTTGCTACCAGGCCTGTAGGAAAGGCTTGTCACGTACATTGTTTTTGTTTGTGTGATAAGTGCTAGGGACGTGGAAAGAAGTTTTTCAGACCCTAATAGGACTTCCAGTAGTTTTAAAAGTGCTTAGAGTGACAAGCCTCAAGTACTTACTTGAGATGCTTTTTGTGCTTAATTTGGAAAATCACTAGATTCTTAAGGGACACTTGTATCCTATTGGAGTGTGCCTTGAGAATGATTTATATAACTTCATTATATAATAATGATGTATATTTATGCTTGGTTTTTAAGTCACTGACTATATATTGATGATAATCTTTGTTCAGGACTGATGGCTTGTATACATGCTTGCTTGCATAAGTGGGCTTAGCTTGCTAATTTGGACACTCCCATCTGCTTAGATTCAGAAAATATGGGTAGACTCTTTTAAGCACAGATGTAACATAATTTTTGTTTATTGTGTAATTATAGATTCTGGCTCCTCTTCTTCCTCAGAAGATGAGCGACCCAAGAGGTCCCATGTGAAGAATGGTGAGGTAGGCAGGCGGCGGAGACATTCCCCTTCCCGGAGTGCCTCTCCATCACCTCGAAAGCGCCAGAAAGAGACTTCCCCTCGGTAATGTCTTTTCTTTCAGTAGTCTTCACTGGTGTTCTGTAGTTGTGATGAAACTTCTAACTTAAGGGATGGGCTACAGGCTTATTTTAGAAATTGGTTAATTCCTTCATTTCAGGGATTCACACACAGAAGGAGATGGTCAGATTTGGGGGGTTTGGGGACATTTTCTTTGCTTTATTTGGTGGTTATCACTATTAGTGAGATCTTGGTAAGTTTTGTTTGTACCACCATGTCTTATGTCTGCATGACTAGATCAGTGAAACCATAGCATTAACTTCTGAACATCTTGGAACATCAAAAAGAAAAAAAAAGACATCGCCATTAGTGATACTTAACTCCATTGAAGTAAATAATTTGGTGAATGGAATTCCTGACCTTTGTTTTTCTCCACTGCTCTCAGGATGCAAATGGGAAAGCGATGGCAATCGCCAGGGACTAAAAGGTTGGTTAGCCACTACTTTGTACCTGAGGCTACATGTCAGGGTGTAGTGACGGGATTGCTACTTAGGGGACCTGCTCCCATCCCCGTGTAGACAGCGGGGATGGCTGTGAGAAGTTCCGAGGTCTAGTGGATTATATTTCTTTGCACGTCAAATTAATGACAGAACTTGTACACAGTGTTCATTTTAGAGTACCATTTGAGCTTAGATTTTTGTTCAGTTATAGTACGTGGATATTTTCCAAGCAATAGGGTAATAACAGCTCCTTAGATTTAGTGGGGAGGGCCTGTGTGGTGGCTTTCAGGAAAGCAAGAAAAACTTGGGAAAGACTTTAAAAAAGATTAAAGATGAACATGAGGCTCTGGCCGTGTTCAGTGTCCTCTGCAGTAGGAAGGTAAGGTTGCATATCTTCACTGAACCTTTTTGATCACGTGTCTGTGACTATAAAAACTAACATTTTAGAGTTTAATCATAAATAGAAATCTGTAATTCAGGCCTATGTCATACGTGAGAAAAAAGGCTCAGAAGTAGTAAAATGAGTCTCTTAGGGTATAAAGGGACAAAGCCTGATCTTAGCCCTGTGCTGCTGACATTATACCATTATATTGTCTTCATTAGTCTTCTCCCTTTTGGGGGGGCGGGGTCTTTGCTGCTAAATTTCTGAGTGTTTATCCTTCATGAAACTATCACATTGTCCTCTTTATAGCTCACTTTTTGAAGTTGTGTTGTTTTAGGTAGTCTCACTGATTAATAAGAGTTCTGTTGGAAAGATTCTTTGGAACTAGTCAGCAGTGTTTGTGATGGAGCAGAGTTGTGTATTTGTGTTGTGGAACACTTGACAAAAAAAACCTTTTAAAAGAAAGATAAATTTAGGTGCCAGATCGTTCCGTTTCCAACTATAATATCCCTGACTTCTGGAAAATTGCTAGTACAACAGCAAAAAAGTTGCTTTACAAAATCAGGTTAGTGGTGAGATTCCTTCCCCCTCCTACACCCTCCCCTTATGGAACTGCTTTCTTTTTGGAAATGATTTATCAACACTGATGTCCACTGCCCTGCTCCAGGGTATTTTTGTTTATCCTCTTTAAAAAGGCCTGCAGTTTTAATGATGTTAGAAATTGCTATCAGGTGTCAAGGATTTAGAGATGGAGAAAGAATTATTTGGAACGATGTTTCAGTATTATATTTTTAAAAGGGGATGGACAGCCTGGTTTGGATTACTTCATATGTAAACTTTAAACTTTGAACAGGTAATATTTTCCATGCTTTGAAACACTTGTCTTTGGGTATCGAACACTCTTTAACTTCAAAGAATAAAAGGCATATTGATGATAGTGAAAGGAAGTTATCACAAAAAAATTAAAAAGGGATTTGTCCCATCTATAGCTTCTGCTAGTGAAGTGGTTGTTCGGAGAGGTCGCTGCAGAGAGAGCAAGCTGGCTCCTTCTGATAAAACTTGGCGTTTCTACCTACTTGAGGGCTACATCACATATTGAGGCTTCCTGAAATCGGTTCTCACACAACTTGAAGGGGATCTTCACTACTCAACAATTTCTACACAGTGGAAAGCTTAGCTTGGCATTATTCAGAATAACTAGAAAACACTTACTTGTTAGATTAAGCAGATGAAATACATTAAGCATTCAGAATTTTGAATAATACAGTGAACAAACTTGATCTCTTAGAAATATATTGAACCTGGGCTTTATGTCACATTTTTTTAAACACATATGGAAAAACTGAAATAGATTGATCTCAGATTAGTTTTTTGTTTTAACCCTTGAAATGTGTGCCCTCTCAGCTTAGGTAGAAATTCTGTAGCCTTCAGATCATGGAGCCATGTGGTGTCAGTACTCCAGTTTTAAGTGATTATCAGATTTTTCTAGCAGTTCCTTAAGTTAATGCAAGTTTGGTTATGGTTTTACTTACTCTTTTTGGTTATTTTCTCATATAGAAGCAGGACATTGAGGGTCATCACTGCAATGGACCTTTTGGCTACACTCAGCCTTTTTGTTTTACCATTGAAGATGAGGCACAAAATAAATATCTCAGGTCATTAGTCTATCATAACAGGTTCTAATCTGAGTCCAGTTTTTTAGTTACTGATCAGATTTTACAAACTGAAATTGGGAGAATATTTTTAAAAAGAAGCCACATAATCAACAGTAATAGTCTCTTATGTGATTATATTTACTGATAACAGAGAGTTCTGCTTTGTATCACTTCATCCTCTTAGTTTGCACCTCTAAACTCTTTCTGCTTCTTTTTAAGTCAAAACCCCAGTGTCTTTTCCTATTTGAAATCTTGAGTCAATACTGTGGTTATCCTCTCTGGGTCCTGTAATTCTCAGATTATACCCTGCTAATAAAATGGCTTCTCCTTTACTGTATTTTCTTACAGTTAGTAGTTCCTGTCTACATTTCATTTTGTTCAAAGCTTATCTGTCTTCGTAGATTGCCTCTTGTAGTTTATTGTTTTAAATCTGTTCTAGTGAAGTCTTAGTCCCCACAAGGCATAAACAAATTGGAAGTGAAAATTAAATAATGAAAATAATTATTAAATTTACTAATGAATTTCAGGATTTTCTCTGCTCTTTTAGTAACAGAGCTCTCCTTAGTTTTAAAGGGGGAATCAAGACTAGTAAACTTTAGAAAATATTACCAGGTTCATAGGAAGCCTCAGTCCTATGCTAGTCAAACTGAAAACTATATAGTGTGTGATTACTTTGTATATATGCAAACTTAGCCAAAAGGTGGCAAACTGGCTTGGTGTATATTTTAATATATCTCTTGGGAAACTGCTATGAGTTAGTCTAGCTGATATAATTGTATTTTTCATGGGTGCATTTGTGTTGGTTAAGTGTGTAACAGCTCAGAATTAGGGTTTTGTATAATTGTCTATATTTCACCCATGTTGCTTCCCAGTCATAGCTTTAGTGCTCAACTTTCAATTCTTTGTTTTTGGGTTAGTGTTTTTAGTTAGTAGTAAGCAACTCTTGAATAGTGAAAATACATTTTTAAAAATTGAGAACTTGGAACAGTGACACCCACATTTGGGGCCTTAAGCCTATGGTGACTATTAAAATTTTAAACTTATGAATTAGAACATGGAAATTTTTCTGAGTATTAAAACAGTTGTTCCTAATAAGGAATCAGAATCACCTGTAGAGCCTTTTCAGCATATACCAGCCAGACCATAGTCCGGACCTGGTAAACAAACTCAGATTAGCTTCCTAGGTAATTGTGATGTGCATTCAGATTAAAAAACAATGCCATAAGGCAGTGTTTTCAAACTTTTTTCACCCTGTGTCATGTTAAGAATTTCTGTATCATGACCCAGACTCTGCATATTTATATACTGAAACAAAAATTTTACAAAATAAAATTTACCATTTCCACAACCACAAGTAAATATATTTTGATTTTCTAAATGCTGGTTCTCAGTCAGAGTCTTGACTAATGGTCTTGGCAGGTGGTTTGAAAAACATTGCACTGAGGGATAGAGGGAACAGTTGGCTGCACTTCGGGTTAACGATGATTGAAACTATGTCATCTGGATCACTTAATTATAAATGCTAACTCCAAATCACCTGTAATTTTTTTTTTTTCTTTTTGGTGATTTAGTGGTAGACGGAGGAGGAGTCCCTCCCCACCACCTACCAGAAGGCGACGTTCTCCTTCTCCTGCCCCTCCTCCTCGTAGGCGCAGGTCCCCCACTCCGCCACCACGACGAAGGTATTTTATTAGGTATTTTATTAGATATGTTAGTGGGAGCTAATTGAAGCAACTTTATGATCAGAATATCTTAATAGAGTGGCATTGCTTAGCCATTTACAGAACACCACATATTATGTGATTCTGTTAATATGAAAAGTCCAGAACACCCAGATCTATAGAGATAAAAGTAGATTTGTGGTGCCTAGGGTAGGCTGGGAATGGGTAGTGTTGTAATGGTTACATGACTGAATATACTTAAAACATTGAAATGTACCCTTTAAAATTTATGGTATGTGAATCACATGTCAATAAAGATGTTGAATTAAAAGGGGAAGTCTAGTGATTACAAAGGGAAAAATACTAACTTTACAGTGGAGAATTCCAGCACATACCTCCATAACTAAGGAATCAAGCTAACAGTCAGTAGTACATACTGGCATTCTGTAATTCCCGGATACCTTATCCTGGTATCCTTATCAATTATTCAGAACCTCAGTCTGATTTATTAGGAAATACCAGACAAACCCAAATTGAAGGTTATTCTACAAGGTAACTAATACTCTTTAAAAATGGCAGTCCTGGGCGGCTGAGTCAGTTGGGCATCTGTCTTTGGCTCAGGTCATGATCCCATGCTCCTGGGATCGAGCCCCACATTGGGATCCCTGCTTGGCGGGGAGTCTGCTTCTCCCTCTACTGTCCCCCCTCCCTCTGCTGTGCTTCTTTCTCTGAAATAAATAAAATTTTCAAGATAAATAAATAAAAATGGCAGTCATGAAAGACAAAGGAATTAGTCACACATTGGCAGGAACTAAGGACACATGATAACTAAATATAATGTAGAATTGTGATTTGGGGGGAAAAAAGAGACATTAGTGGGAAACCGGGTTTGTAATTTAGTTAATACTAAGTGCTGTGGCTAATTTCATAGTTTTGATCATTTTTGTTATGCTCTTGGGAGCTGTTAAGTGGCAAATCTCTACTATTTTTATAGCTCTTCTGTAAATCGAAAGTGATTTCAGAATAAAAGCGGAGAAAATTTGTAAGGGCATCGCTCAAATACATTACCAAACAGTATTGAATGCCTATTACATGCTTATTTATATACTTAATCTGTAGTCCTTGAGATGATCTTGCTCAGTAGGTGGTATTGTTCCCATTTTTCAGGTGAGGAAATGGAGGTGCACACTACCTTGTCCAAAAAGTAGCCTATTGTAAAGCTGATTCTAGACAGGAAAATATTTTGAGCTTAAGGTCTGAACATTTCAGAAGCAAATTAAGCAGTTGGAACTGAATGTCATATTCAAGTCGAATTTCTAAGAGGCAGTTAAGATTATATAGGACTTAAGTATTAAGTGGAAGGCCAGCTTGGACTTCTACAGGGATGCATTCTGCCTAGTAGGTAGACTTCCACTGAAAAGTGGTTTTTTGAGATGCAAAATCCAAGTCTCTCCTTTGAACGGTTGAGTAGGTGTAGAGATACCTTTTAAAACGTGTGCAAGTGAACTCTTGCTAAGTCCAAATGTCAGTCAAGAGAGCACCACATAGGAGAGCTTTTTTTTTTTTTTTTGAAGATTTTATTTATTTGAGAGAACATGAACGGGGGCGGGGTGGGGGCAAGAAGCAGACTCCCTGCTGAGCAGGGAGCCCCACATGGGGCTTGATCCCAGGACCCTGAGATCATGACCTGAGCCGAAGGCAGAACACTTAGCTGACTGAGCTACCCAGCTGCCCCCAGGAGAGCTTTTTAAAGCACAGATTTCTAAGCTGCCCATAGTGGAGTCCTGCTAATGTAGCTGCCTACCTTGTACATAATGATAGTGGGTGTTCACAATTTATGCAAGATTCTCTTCTCAGAAAAACCCATTAAATTGGTTCCATGTGGATTATGTTAAATGACTTTTGAATTCATTCTGGAAACTTCAAATTTCTCCATTAAGCAGAATGTCCTGTTTTCTAATCACTAGGGTAAACAGAGCCACTAAGTGATTTTTTTTTCCTTTAAATGAGGATAAAGGCCTAGCATTTCCAGTTAAAAATGTACTGTCTTTGCCTGGTGCTTAACTACAGTATTGCCATAACTTCTGGTTAGTTTTCTGTGCATTCTGTTGCCTTACTCTTTCGGACCTTTCAGCTTAATGGTTTATTTTTCCTAGGACTCCTTCTCCTCCCCCCCGCCGGCGCTCACCTTCCCCAAGAAGATACTCTCCTCCGATACAGAGGAGATACTCTCCTTCTCCACCTCCAAAGAGAAGAACGGCTTCTCCCCCTCCCCCTCCTAAACGAAGGGCATCACCATCTCCACCACCAAAGCGTCGGGTCTCCCATTCTCCACCTCCCAAACAAAGAAGCTCCCCAGTCACCAAGAGACGTTCGCCTTCATTATCATCAAAGCATAGGAAAGGGTCTTCCCCGAGCCGGTCTACCCGGGAACCCCGGTCACCACAACCAAACAAAAGGCATTCGCCCTCACCACGGCCTCGAGCTCCTCAAACCTCCTCAAGTCCTCCACCTGTTCGAAGAGGAGCATCATCATCACCCCAAAGAAGGCAGTCCCCTTCTCCAAGTACTAGGCCCATTAGGAGAGTCTCCAGGACTCCGGAACCCAAAAAGACAAAAAAGTAAAAATATTTTATGCTTTCTTGGCTAGGAACACTAACTTGCATAGTTCTTTATTTTTGGAAGCTTCCCCCCTTTACTGAGAAATTACAGAAAAGAATAAGCTGGGAATACAGGCTTTTAAGGCAGCTTAAAGGTACTATTCACAGATCCATTTTCTGTTTTCAGAATAGTTCCTTATGCCATAGGACTTTATACTTGGTTCTTAGGGGTATCAGGTTTTTTGGGGGATGTGCTTCCAAAACTGAACTCTGAAGTAATGCAGAGAACATTTCCTGCATGTCTATGTAAGACTGATAAAAGCCATTTTAAATACAAGGAACTGGCATTATTAATTTCATACAGGAAAAGTGTTAACGGATAGAGGATTATGGGGCTTAAACTCTTCAGGAGACTTAGACGATACAAATTTGATGTGTGTGTGTTTGTAGAATCGACTAAGTGGTAAAATATTTAAAGTTTGTGACCTGGTTATATAATGGTGGTTGGTTATTTTCTCTTACGAAAGACCTTTGTTCTTGGATACTGAATTGTTTTTTTCTTTCCCTCTGTTTCTAGGGCTGCCTCACCAAGTCCTCAGTCTATAAGGAGGGTCTCGTCCTCCCGATCTGTCTCAGGATCTCCTGAGCCAGCAGCTAAAAAACCCCCAGCACCTCAGTCTCCTGTCCAGTCCCAGTCCCCCTCTACCAACTGGTCACCAGCGGTACCGGTGAAAAAGGCTAAAAGCCCCACACCAAGCCCATCTCCGGCGAGGGTATGTGTTTGCCCTGTTCTGGACACCCTTTATAATTGTATGTGGTCACTTGGAAGCAAAGACAAGTTTTTGGGTTTTTTTGTGGCTCAGAGCAGCATTATGTTCTGTAGTTCAGCTGGCCTTCAAGGAAGCATGAAATTAAGGGGGGTGGTGGTTGCACCACAGTCCATGCTTCATATCCTAGTCACCCGCTAATTGACATCACGTCTAATATTGTTAAATTCTGTAATCTTGGTGGTTAAAATTGGCCTATATAGAAAATCTAGAATAACAGAAAAGAAAAAGTTACCCATGGTTCTATTATCTAGGGGAAAAATAGCTTAGTATTTTCTGCTGTTCTCTATAGCATTTGACATATTTGGGGACACTTGGGGATCACAAAATAAAACTTTCAAAATTAGATATATGTGTTAGTACGATTCCATTTTTATAAAGGAAAAAAATACCACAAAGCAGGTACCAAATGGTAACAGTGGTTATATGTTAGAAGGGGAAAGGATGAGTAATCTAAAATTTTCCTTATGTGTAGTGCCCTTTTTCCCCACAGTAAAAAAATACATTATTTCTATAATAAATGAACCTTGCAGCCTGTGAAATACTAGCTGAAGTGGAAAGTACGGTATTGTCCCATATAGTCTTATCTCTGGCAAGCCACATAAATAAGAATAACACTTGTTTTTTACCTTGTCAAGTTTAAATGTCATTAGGATATTAAAGTATTGGGAGTTTAAACTGTATTTTCCCCTCTGAGTCATTAATCTGATCTTGAACAGGTTTATTGTATAAAGTTAATGGTTAGGGTCCATCTCATAGTAGGTTTGCCTAAATTTTACAAACTAACTGAATGGATTGAGGAATTTTAAGTAACTGCTTAGAAATCTGAAATGTGAAATTTCAGGATTACTGATGGGATTCACTTGCAGCAGAACTTGCTCTTTCCATAATTTTGGTATAAACAATCGGACCCTTGAACAGCATGGAGCAGGGCCACATAGATGTGGAGGTCTTTTGATGAATACGGCACAGCACCGTAAATGTGTTTTCTCCTCCTCATACTTTGCTTAGTAACATTTTTTAAAACCTCCAAAATCTGTGTTCATTGAGTGTTACGTTACCCATAAGGCTTCTGGTCTATGTAGGCTGTTAGTAGTTAATTTTGGGGAGAGTCAAAAGTTATATGCAGATTTTCAACTGCATGGGGAGTTGGTGCCTAGTTGGTGCCTCTAAGCCCCACGTTGTTCAAGGTCAACCGTATTATGCATTAAGGAGCAAACTCCCTCCATTCTAGAGCTAGAAGTCCTACAGTGGCTGGAGATGTGGCATTCACACAAGCATGTGTTTAGAATAATAGCTGTACTTATTGAAAGCCTGCTTCCTATTAGGCTAGTATTGTGGGTGGTTTACAGATAGACCCGTTTAATTCTCACAACAGCTCTGTCGGGGATTGCTGTATCCATTTTATTTAGGTTGACAGAAGGGGCTCAGAAGAAGTCCACCGATTCGTCTGAGGTCACATGGTGAACGGGTTCAGGAGCCAGAATTCACCTCAGGCCTAGCTGAGTTCAAAGATTTTTTCTTTCTTTTGCACGTGCTGCTTTCCTTGCATTTGGAGGTGGCTCTGGATCCTGGACACCCACCTGACTGGCAGCTTGTGGTTGGGAAACATGGCTTATATGTGCCGTTAGTTGGGGAAAATCCATTCTGACTCTTAGAATCTGTGAAGAGCATCTTCGCTTGCAGTGTGGTTTTCGGCTCAACATACTTTTCTTGGCAGGGATTGCCCTTGGGCCTTTTTCTCCCCCGAAGCCTTAGGAAATCCTGAGATTTGTCCATTTAGTTATTCCCTTGAGAACATAAAATGTTTAGTTGGACAGCATTTTAGTCTGATTGATTTTACTGTGATTTTTCTGGATTTCTAGAACTCAGACCCAGAAGGAGGTGGAAAGAAAAAGAAGAAAAAGAAGGACAAGAAACACAAAAAGGATAAGAAGCACAAGAAGCACAAAAAACACAAGAAGGAAAAGGCCGTGGCGGCAGCGGCCGCAGCAGCAGTGACCCCTGTGGCCCCCGCTGCCCCCACGGCCACGTCGGCACAGGAGGAACCGGAGGCAGAGCCCGAGCCTAAGAAGGTACGTGTGCCTTGCACTTCCTACAGTTGGCTAAGTCATTGGATGCTGAGGAGGAGCTTAAGATTTTTTTATAGTAATGGCTACTTGGCTGTTAGCTCTCTCCTGATCTATCATCATTCTTAATGATCTGCCAAGAACGGGAATTTGCCAAGAGTAAGGAGAAGAATGTGAATGGCTGCCAAAAGCTTAATGTAGGTTTTTAAGAATAACTTCTTTGAGATATAATTAACATGCCATTCACCTGTTGAAGTATGTGATTCAGGGGCACCTGTCTGGCTCAGTAGGGCATGCACCTCTTGATCTCAAGGTTGTGAGTTTGAGCCCTGCATTGGGTGTAGAGATTACTTAAAGATAAAATTTTTTAAAAAACGAAAGAAAGTATGTGATTGAGGGGTTTTTAGTGTATTCATAGAGTTGTGCGGCTGCCGCCATGATGTGGTTCTGTCCTGCGCCCTACACCTCTTCGCCAGTGTCTCAGGACTCACCAGTGTGACCCCTCTGGTTTTAGGAGACCGAAAGCGAGCCCGAAGACAACCTCGACGACTTAGAAAAGCACCTGCGCGAAAAGGCGCTGAGGTCGATGCGGAAGGCTCAAGTGTCCCCACAGTCTTAGGCGGGAATGTGTGTCACGATGTACATTTTATTTGGTTTGTACGCAATTCAATTTCAAAATTGCTAAAATGTGTTTGAGCTTTAGACTATAACATTTGTTGTAATAATTGCTAGGTTGAAGTTCACCATGTAAAAAAAAAAAAAAGGGCATGGATTTACATTGCAAAAGGTGTCCACAGTGTATTAGTGACATTCTTTCATTGACAGCTGACATAAATTCATTTAGAGTGAAATATTTTAAGCCAAAAAAAAAAATCCCCTTTTTAAAAAAGGGGGTTTCAATATTGTTGGCATTCTTATGGTTTCTTTAAAGGCCTTGGCTATTCCCAGAGGTTTTCTTTCTTTTCATTTTTTTTTTTTTTTTTATTTCTCATTTGAGTCTTAGCACCCATTTAAGTTATGATGCTTCCAACCTTGTTGGTTTGCAAGCTTACCCAGAAATAAGACCACTGTTGAACTACCACAAAAGTATAAATGAATATTTTAATGCCACAATCTTTCCTGTTGCCTGTGGAGTCTCTGCTGAAATGAATCAGGATTTGAGCTCTAGGACGAGACGGAAAATGAAAGCATGTTGTTTGCCAGGACACTGTGGGTTTATATTGATGTGTAACAAGTTGATTTGGAACACTGGAATTTCATTCTATTCTGTTGTGTTTTTTTTGTAAAGGCAATTAACTAGTCCCAGGAAGGATCCTTCAGTTATATAAAAGTTTGTTTTATGAAATGTCATGGCTCCATTCATAATTTTGTCTTGTTCTTCCAATTGGTATATACAACCTTCAGAGCTCTCATATTTGGAAGGCTGGAAGGGCCCAGACTTTGAAATAGTGTCTTTGTTTTCACTGTTTTTGTTTTTTGTTTTTTGTTTTTTTTTTTTTAAACTAAAGCTATATAAAGCTTGTGGATTAAACAGAATAAATTTCTAAATTTAAAAATGTTGGCCACTCACTTTTACTTAACCGTCTCAATACTGCGGGAACCCACCTTCCCACCCCCCACCCCGAAATCTTACATTTAAACCTAATGTGTTTACCCCCGTGGCACCTTTGACGCAGGTTTGGGCAAGGAAAATAAATGATGGTGAAATTACTCTACCGTCTTTATTTTAATAACGAATGTGATAAGTGCTATGAAGGGAGAGTGTATGGTGCGATTGGAACATATATGATAGACAAGGCAAAGTCAACCAGGCACTTCAAGCAGAGCAGTATCTGTGTACGGCCTGAGAGGCAGAAGGAGCCTGGCACATTCTAGGAAGTGAAGGAAGGAAGGCTAAGGAATGACTGGAGCAACCTCCCTCTTAGGTTGTGCGTGTTTAATGACAAGTCATTTTTGCACTTGAGATTTAGCAAAGCAAAGTGACTTGAGGAAATTGGAGTTGGTTTGTGGAAGGTAAAATAGCAACATAAGAAGTTAAGTGTAGGGATGCCTGGGTGGCTCAGTCAGTGAAGCGTCTGCCTTCGGCTCAGGTCACGATCCCAGGGTCCTGGGATCAAGTCCCACTTCAGCGGGGAGCCTGCTTCTCCCTCTGCCTGCCGCTCCCCCTGCTTGTGCTCACTCACTCTCTCTGATTTAAAAAAAAAAGTTAAAAGGGAATATTTGACACCATGAATCTAAGCTGAGCAGGGTGACACATGGGCAATTGATGGGATTGTAATTTCTGGCATTTAAAACCAAAAGAAAATGTCTACACATTTTAAGACGTAATGGGACAGTTTTTATCTGAGGGACATAGACACAAAGGAGCTGTTTTTTTTATAGGCAGGTTTTTAGAGTGATTTGTAAGGAGGCAACTTAAATGCAGCTGCTTCTATAAGTGAATTAAAGTAGTCTGATCGATAACTGCATCTTAGCTGTGTGCCGTGACGAAAGTCTTCAGATTTTCCACATGACTTCCTTGTGATTTTAGAATACTGTGATTTAGGAAAAGCACAGAATATCCAGTTTCTAAAATGGTTGTTGATGACTTATCCCTTCCAGTGTGAGCAAACCAGTGAACATCACTGGGGTCCTTGTACCTATCTAGCCTGCCATTCGTTCACTGCACTTGTTCACTCATCCTATTCCTTCAATATGCTTTCATTCCTCTGCTTGACGAACTGTCCATTAAGGTTAGCAATAGTCCCTGTTTTGCCAATCTGAATGATCAATTGTTGATCCTTTACCGGTCCTTGGCTGGATTTGGCTCAGTCGTTCACTCCTTTGTTCAAACACTTTCTTCACTTGGGTTCTAGGAGACAACGCTGGAAGCTTCCAGATGCAACACTGATTTTCCTCCTATCTCACCAGCTGGTCCTTTTATATCTACTGGCTCCTTTCAAACACAAAGTGATGGAATTTGTCCTTGGTGGCTTTCTCTGCATTTAATCCCTACTTCCTTGACTTTAAATGTCATCATTTTGTTGACTTGTCAAGTTTCTCTGTAGTCTAAACTTAACCCTGACCTATCCAGCTCTCTACCCAACTACTTGATAACTCAGTTTGGGTATCTACAAAGAGATACCAAATTGAACATACCCAAAATAGAATTTTTAAATGCCGTCTTCTGACCTTACCCCATCTTATTTCAGTCCCTGTCATCCTCATTGGCTCCACATTGGGTTACTGTCCTCAGTATTGTCTGCTCTCCAGCACTGAGGCGCAAAGGCCATTCCATTCCCAGTGGCCTGAGCCAGAGCATGGCACTGCCCAAAGCCCTCCAATAGTCTTCTGCCTCAGTAAAATCCAGATTTTTTACTATGGCCTGCAAGACCTGACAGCACTGGGTTGAATCTGCTTTGGCAACCTCATCACCACCCTTCAACCGGCTCACGCCATACCTGCTGCCTTGTTCCTCCTTTGACCCACCAAAGCCGATTTCTCTTTCAGGACCTTCGTTCCCACTGTTCCCTCATCCCGGAAGACACCGCCCCTGATCTTGTGACTTGTTTCCTTACTTGATTTCCTCAGGCAGTCTTCCTGAAGTCCCTCTTCTCTGTTTTCACGTAGAGCAGTTACTAGTACCTGAAATGGTCCATTTTTGGTCCCTAGGAACTTGGCCTTGTTCATGGCTGTGCCGCCAGCGCCTGATACGTAGCAGAAGCGCAAATATTTGATGAATGAATTTAATTGACTTGTCTCTATACTTGCCAAGTGCTGCTACATCGGGTTTGAGGTAAAGAAAATGCATAAAGGGCCGCCTGGGTGGTTCATTCAGTTGAGCATCCGACCCTTGGTTTCGGCTCAGGTCATGATCTCAGGGTCATGGGATCGAGCCCCGCATCGGGTGCTGGGCGAGGAACCCAGTTAGGATTCTCTCCCTTCCTTTCCCTCTGCTCTCCCCCTCTCTTAAAAAGAAAAAAAGAAAAGAAAAGACAATGGTTGCTGCCCTTGAGTATTTGCCTACTAGGAATACATGCAAACAACAATTTGCAGTGGACAGAACACTGGGTGGACTGGGGTTTCTACCGTAGCTTTCTGTGTAACCTTGATCAAGTTAACACTTGAGCTAAGTGCTGCCATTTCGTCTTCTGAATGAGGGAAATAATGGTGGAATCCACTTCAGAGTGCTTTCAAGATTTTTTTTAATGTATTAATTGATATCATTCAATGATAGCATGAAGAGAGGTTCCCATTTTCTCAGCTCCATGACATGCATCCATTCTAGTGATGACAAATTTTAGTTTGTGCCTATGAACGGTTTTAACTGGTCACAGCCCTATTCAATGCAATTTTCTTCCCTTTTGCTCTTTAGATACAACTCAGCATAAAATTTGCTATTTTAAAGCGTGCGACTCAATGGTATTTCATACATTCGCGAGGTTGTGCAACCACCACCACTATTCGAGAACATTTTCATGGCCCTAAAAAGAAACTCTGTGCCCATTAGCAGTCACTTGCCGTTCTCCTGGCAGTCCCTCAGCCCCAGCCCCCTGGCAACTATATCCATCTATTCTGAACATGTCCTTGGCATCATATAAGATGTGGCCTTTTGTATCCGATGTCTTTCATTTAGCATAATGTTTCAAGGTTCAACCATGGTACCTCATTTTTTTAACTGCCAAATAATACTCCCTTGTATGGATATAGCACATCTTGTTTATCCATTCAACAGCTGAGCATTTGGGCTGCTTCCACCTTGAGGCTCTTATGGATAAAGCTGCTAAGAACATTTGCACGTAAGGTTTTGTGGACATGTTTTCTCTTGGGTATATACACCTACTAGTGGAATTGCTGGGTCATGTGGTGACTTGACTTTTTTAGAAACTGGTAGACCATGCCAAAGCAGCTGCACCATCCTACATTCCCACCAGCAGTGTATGACAGTTCCCATTTTTCCACATCCCTACCAGCACTGGTTATCTTGTCATTTGATTATAACCATCTTAGTGGGTGTGAAGTAGTATCTTGTTTGTGCCCCAAACCCAGTATTTTTCTGAATATATCTGTCTAGTATGTCGTAAGGGATTTTTGCCAAGATGTCCTTTTATTTCAGGTGTATCAGAGGGGAGGAGGAACTGACACGCTCCCAAGATTCCCAAGAGTGGTAGCATGTGTGCAGAGGGCTGTGGCTTCCTCCGACCCAGAAGTGTTGTGGGAGGATGCAGGTTGAAAGCCAGTAGGGATTGTAAAATGTACTGAGTCACAACCAGCATTAAAAGAAAAAAAATGAAGTAGTAATTTGAGGGTGAATTGCAGTAGGTTAAGTGTTGTTTGATGACGTGTTTCTCTATGCCCATGCGTGCATGTGTGTTTGTGTCCTGGGCTGCAATGTAAAATGTAGTCTGATTCACAGTCAACAAAACGGAAAGCCACTACCTCGCAGATCATCTGGTCCACCAGTTTTTAAACTGCCCCGCGTGTCCTAAGTGGGGCTTACAGTCCCGATTTTCTCTGAAAGGTACATTGGGCGAACCCACCTTTGTGGAAGGACATAGACGAGAAACGTAAGCCTGGCAAGTGCTTGACTTTGATATGTAGATCTAGAGATACATACAGATGCATCTTTTTTTCTTTCTAACTTTGGGCTTTTCCCGTTGCATTCTGTTTGAATAAAGGGATCCACAGCCCCAAACCGTGTGAAAACCACTGATCTAGCCTAGCCCTTGTCTACAGAAAAAGTCCGAAGGGGAACAGACTGCCCCGTGGTCCCACCCACCATAGTAAATGCTCCCCCAGGTGCTTTCCCACTTCATCTCACTGCCTCGGCCGGGGGCGTTAATGTCTCCCAATTTTTAATTGTGCTGTGATGAGACGAAGCAGACCCAGTGCAGTTAGGTGCCTCAGAAGCAAGGCGGGGAGGGTGGCTTCCAGCAGGTCTTGGTAACGGGAAAGGAAAAACTCCCATCTGAGCACATACGCAAGAATGGCCTTTGTCCAAGAGTCCGACATCTGTTCTTTCAAGAACCTCCCTCGTACACAACCAGACAGGGACCCTTCTGGCATTTTAAGCATGGCGGCTTTGGCCTACATAACCCACAGGACCCATGGGAGGTGAGTCTGACTGCTCTCAGCCCCAGCTGGAGGGAGAAGCCCACCAGACCAGCGGGACTTCCCCAGGCAGACAGGATGTGCTGAGCACCTGCCAGGTGCAGGTGCTCGAGGCTGGGTCAGGGCTCAGCCTGTGATCCCCCACTTCCATTCTATTGTTTTTCTCTTGCTATTCTCTGCCTGGAATGTCCTTTCTTGCCTCCTAATGTCCAAATCCTTTTTGGACTTAATGTATTTAAGATGATGTTTTCCAATTACAAAGAAAATACATGCTGACTTTTACAGAATTGGGGAAACAAAAATAGAAAAAAGTTGTTGGCCATCCCACCATCCAAATATAACCAAGGCCACCTGTCTCGGGTCAAGTTCTCCACCTGACTGCACCCAACTCACACCGAGCTCCCCTCTTACATATGGAACAAACCAGGTTTATTTCTTACCCGTTTGTAAGTATATATCAGGGTCT